TTTGTTTGTCTGAGAAGATTTTAATCTTTTTTTTCCCATATGAAGGATAATCTTGCAGGATACAATAATCTTGGTTGAAATTGTTTCTCTCTTAACACTTTCAATACATCTTCCCATTCTTTCCTTGCTTGCATTGTTTCCCTTGAGAAGTCTGGAGTTAGCCTGTTGGGGTGACCTTTGTAAGTCACTTGTCGTTTCTCTCTTGCCAGTTTTAGTATCTTATCTTTATCTGTGGTCTTAGCCAGTCTGGCTATGATATGCCTTAGGGAAGAGCTTCTTGGGTTAATTCTATTTGGGGTCCTTTGTATTTCTTGGTTCTGGTTGCTTGAGTGCCTCTCTATACTTGGGAAATTTTCTTCCAAGATTTCATGGAATAGGTTTTCCATGCCCTTATTAGTTTCTTCATCTTCTGGGATACCAATTATTTGGATGTTAGGATGTCTAATGGAATCTAGTATTTCTCGTATGTTATCTTCATTTTTTTTGTTATTTTCTCTATCTTTTTGGTAGTTTTCTCTAGGTCAGAAGTTTTATCTTCTACATCAGAGATTCTACCTTCAGCATGGTCTAATTGACTTTTAATACTTTCGAGAGAGTTTTTAATTTCCTGTATTACAGACTTCACCTCTAATAGTTCCATCTTATTCTTTCTTAGCGTGTCTATTTCTTCCTTCATATCATGGAAGGACTTTTTCATCTCCTGTAGTTCATTGTCTTTTTTCTGTTCCAGCTCATAGTATTTGTTCAACATGAACGTTCTAAACTCTATCTCGGACATTTTGGTAACATCCTCTATTTTTTTCAAGAAAAGGAAGGGAGTTACTGTGTTCTTTTGGTAGAGACATAGTTCCTGCTTTATTCAGACCTGAGGTTCTTCTTCTACTTCTAACCATTGGGAGATGTGTTCCCTTTGAAAAACGTTTTAGGAGAACATTTCCTTGAATATGAGCAAGTGTGTTTCCTTTTTGCTGTGGAATGAAGACAGCCAAAGTCTCTCTTCTATTGTGTTTAACAATGTGATCCAAGAAAAAGTATTCTTTTCAGATGTACAAGGAAAAGTATCTCCTTCTTCGCAAGTGGTTCAGTGAAAGGGAGGATTCCAGAGAATCTTAAAATACTAAAATGTTTCAGAACTGTAATTCTAGACCTATCTAAACCGCCAGGGATGGTGTAGATAAAGAAAGTGAGGAGCAAATAAGTGGGAAGAAAATAATAAGTAGAATAAAGAAAAAGTTGCGTGCCACACGATTTCACCAGGGGTCGAAAGATGAGAGTGGGGCGTAGTAGGACTGAGGGCGTTCCTGTGTGGTAATGAGAAGGGAGAAATTTACAAATGAAAGAAGAGAGGAAGGAGAGAAAAAAAAGGAAAAAAAGTGTACCTGGCTGAAAGAGGGGTCTATAGAAAATAATAAGTAGAATAAAGAAAAAGTTGCGTGCCACACGATTTCACCAGGGGTCGAAAGATGAGAGTGGGGCGTAGTAGGACTGAGGGCAATCCTCCTTCAAAGTTCCTGACCCAGGGGTCGAAAGATGGGAGTGGGGTATAGTAGGACTGAGGGCATTTCTGGCTGTAAGAGGGGTCTCTGGCTTGGGGGTCCTGGGGCTGAGGCTACAGGGGGCAGTCCTCTGTTGAAGTTCCTGGCCCAGGGGTCGAAAGATGGGAGTGGGGTGTCTCACATAACTTTTATTACATGCACTATTAACCTAAAATTTTATGATAGTATAATGTACATGATAATAAAATATATGGAATGAATTTTTATTCCATATATTATTTTATCACATGTTGTTATAAATTTTTAATTTTATTATTTGTTATGGCTGTTAATCTGTTACGATGCCTAAATTATTGTCTATTGATAATTTTGCCAGAGGGCACATGTGTTTGTCAGAGAGAATCACAAAGAGAGAGAGAAGGAAATAAGGACATATTTCCCATGAGGAACGGTCATGCTAAAATCCTTTCTCTTCTATTTCTCCCTCTCTTTGAGATTTTGGGCATGCAGGCAAATATGTGCCTGTGTGATTTTTTTTAAGCTGCCAATTCAGACCTTAATCCTGGAGTCCTACAGCTGGCCAACAGAATTGAATTATCTTTTATTTATTCATTTATTTATTTAGAGAGATTTTATTGCTATAGGGCATGTGTGCTCACCAGAGACACAAAGAGAAAGAAAGCAAGAAATCACTCCCCAGAGGGGATGGCCACATCACAATCCCTTCCCCTCCAACCTCCTCTTGGGATGATGGATGTACATACACATGCACTTGGTTTAAGTCACTGGGTCTGAGACTCAAACCACAGTTGACTACATGTGAGTCCAGCAACGTAGCCATTATGCTATCTGCTGGTCCCCCAGAATAGAGCCATCTTAATCACTATGCTACAGGCTGGCCCTACCTAACTTACTAATTAAACGTTATCACTGGTATGTATAGGAAAAAGTACAGGGTTCAGTACAATCTGAACTTTTCTCCTATGGATAAGCAAAGACCATTGTATGTGATGCTCAAGTGGTCCCTGCTGGGGGAGCAGCAGACCATGAGCAGGTGCCCTCAGGGGACTTTGGTCCAATGTCCCTCTGGTTCTGCGTCTATCTCTTTCTTAATTCTCTACCTTCCCTTAACCCTTAGGTTGAAGGTCTTGACTTTAGTCCAACTTCTCAATCCTCTGTTTGACTAACACTAGTTAAATTCACCACAGAGCTCACAAGAAACAGGCCAAGTCCCTTCCCTGGGCAGTTTAGAAAAATTCAAGTGCTCCACCATGAATTAAAGAAAATCTGGCAAATTTTATGGGAATGTTTACCTTCCGTATTTCTATCAGTTTTACCAGCCTCCTCTCTGGATTATCTCACCCCATTGTTCTCAGTCTTCACATCCAGTTAGTGATTGATGGGAATAAGTACTCCAGTTTCTGTCTCTCCCAATTTCCTCTGTCTTTCCACCAGCAGCCACAAACTCCTGAAAGCACAGACACCTATGGAATGGGACTCAGAAGCCTCTATTCATAAACCATAGTCCTCAGATTAATTTCATTTTCTATGCATGCTATACTGTGACAGGACTTCAGAAAACTCACAAAAATGGATATTATGAAAAAGTGATGCATGGGGGAACCAGCAGTTAGCGTAATGGCTATGTCGCTGGACTCCCACGTAGTAAACCGCGGTTCCTGTCCCGGACCTGGTGGCTTAAAACTCACGCCGGGCGCGTGTGCGGGCGTGCCCAAGATCCCGAGAGGAGAATGGAGGAGAAGGGATTGCGGCGTGACCATCCCCCCTGGGGGGTGATTTCTTACTTTCAGTCTCTATGCCACTCTCTGTCTGTCTGGTGAGCGCATGCGCCCTATAGTAAAAATTATAGCGAAAACCCTCAAAAAAAAAAAAAAAAGAAAAAAAAAAGTGATGCATGGATTTCAAAAAAATTTTGTACTAAAACTTGTATTTTAATTCTATTTTTCCATGAATGTTTTAAAGTTCCCCTTGTATTCTGCCCATTTTGAAATCTTAGGTTTCTCTTGTCTCCAAAGAAGTTCCACTTTTTTTCCTTCTTTCAGTCATTTGTTCACCAACAATTTCCTGAGAGGCTGTATTTAGCAGGGTCTAAAGGATTCAAGGTAATGACTTCCTCTGGACTCTGAGGTCACTATATATGCTGCTAATTAAGTTGCTCACTGGGACTAGCAGGTGGCGTGATGGTTAAGGGTGTTGGACTCCCACATGGTTGACTGTGGTTCAAGTACTGGACCTGGTGGCTTGCTTTCTCTCTCTCTCTCTCCCCTCTTCCCTCCCTCCATCTTTCCCTCCCTCTGTCCCTCTCTGGTCAAACTGAAATAAATAAATAAATAAATGTAAAATAATTCTTTAAAAAAATTAAGTTGCTCACTTGCATTGTCTTACTTAAGTAAGAACTTTATTCCTTCAACAAATACTTTTCTTTTTGTTTGAAAACATTGATTTATAAATGCCTTAAATCTTTTAAACTTCTACACCTTGTAAAAATCAGTGAAGTTCTAAAGAATCTGTCTTTCCAAGACATCCTTAGCTTAAGTCTGGGTGAAACATTTACCAGAGAAACAACTGGAAAGAAAGTCATGTTGCTCTAAAACTGAAGTCTTTCCCTTCTTTGGGTTGAAATCATTTGACCTAGATTTTTTTTCCCTGAAAGACAAGTGACGGCAGATGATTCTAAGAAAACTGGTTGAATATTGATGTAAACTGTCGAATTCATTAACCACATGTATTTGTCTTGCAAATCGGTCTGGCAGATTTTCAGGACAAATGAAGTTCTTACTTCTATCCACCTTCATTCTTACCTTCAGAGCAGTTCTCTCCATAGCAACTGAAAACTCCAGGCTGAAATAATCCTCTCTAGCTCTCAGTGCACAGTCAAGGAATTTTAAAACCAGAGGACTTTGCAACTGCAAAAATACTCTGAGATTTAAAAGGCTGCAAGGCTCCAGATAAATCATTTTTCTTTCTTCTGAAGGTAAGCCCTGGGTTTAGAGATGTTTGTATCATCCTCTGTCATTTTTTAAATGCTAATGCTAACATAATCTTAAACTCTTCTTTTTTATTCATTAAAGTAATCCCAGTATCTTTTTTACTACCGCACACTCATTATTAGCTCATCTCTGACTGGGATCTGACATGACATGGTGTTAACATTTTGCATTCCCTAAGCAATCAGTTGAAGAGATTCCTTTTTTTTCCTCCAGAAAGTTGACTAGTTCTGAAGTCATTCCCCATCCCTTTGGCGATCATGGAGTGAATTGATTTATTGCGGTTCTTGAGGTCTTGAAACGCTCTTGTTTTTCTAAGGTACTTTGCAATTCAGAACCTAGATTGTTAATAAATTAAGAAGTGACCAGTGTTTTCCTGAACAGTACTATTTTCTCCCAGTACCTTTATGTGTCTGAAACTTTCTAGTGTAATATTATAGTGATAATTTATCAGAATTTTTGTCTCTTCAGTTTTGTTCAGTTACTTTAATAACAAGGACCACAGATCACTTGGTGTTTCCCATGCTGGACTTGGTAACTTGCACTACCTGCAAATTAAGGCAGACACTTATTCTACCGACTTTTTGACTCTATTTTTAGCTCAAGGAGAGGTAAAAGATAGGCTTTTTGGCAATTCTTTTGCAGTTCGTAAGTCTTCAGCCACGGTAGTTTCCTGCTGTTTGGGGTTATAAATTACATACAGACCCCCTGTTGTTTAGAAACAGCTTGTCATTGCAAATCAGCTTAGCCATTCAATTAATGAATCCTTTCAAATATGTTGTAGGCACAATAATTGAAGGCTTTATTTTTCCCCTCTACCACAGACATTCCTCTGGTTACAAGTTTATCCCATGAACAGCAATCCGCCCATCTTTATCTAAGACAGACTCAAGGTAAAGGAAGAGTGGAAATGTGCTTCTGGACAAAGCGTTCAGTATTTTGGGTGCCATTGTTCCTTCTTCTCAGCTTTGTTCCTTCTGCCGAGACAGACAAACCCTCAACCCAGGACAGCAGTGGCACTGGGAGTTCAGGTCAACTGTTAGAAGTACTAAGGGTTCTCTCCGCTGGTGACCACCCACCCTTCAACTACTCAAGAAGCCTCATCAAAACTTTGTTGGAGAAAACTGGGTGCCCACGGAGGACATATGGAGTGCAAGGAGATTGCAATCCGGTTAGTGAAATAGAGTGGGATCGGGTACCAAAGAGAGCAATGGATTCTGTAGCCATTTATTTTAGTAAGGTAAAATCAAAGTCAAGTCTTCCGA